CTACACTACACTACACTACACTACACTACACTACACTACACTACACTACACTACACTACACTACTGATTAATTGATTGGTTACTGTATTGATGAACCCTAAGTATTATTAGTAGTATCTAAATTGATCCTCTTGTCTATATCGCAATCAATCTTTCTTTCTAGCGGTCACGTGTTCATTTGTCTATCTTTCAGCGACAAACATAAATACAGATAGATAGATAGATAGATAAAACCAGGGGTGAACACTTAACCCTACTATGCTAACCAGGTTTAGCATGGGTGGGTGGACATAAAAACATTTTGAATTATTTGAAAAATGTGAATTGTGATCCCTGACTCGTGTTTCCATTATTATGGTATGTTTCAGGGAGTTTCAGGGATTTGAGGGGAGATCTTTGAACTATCTGAACATGGAGGCACGTGCACCCCCCTCCTCTCCGCCCACCTTCAGAAGCTTAACCCTAATCTACAGGGTGGTCCTGAAGGAAACTAAAAAATTATTACTTTTAATATTAAAATGCTAACTGCCTCATTGGCCTTTATTTCATGGCAAAAAATAGTTACAGATTCATATTGCTGGAATTCTCCAAACACACCAATTTAATTCATGTATTAAAACATTACTTTAACAATCCCTCTTGTCTGTCAGAAATCTAGTAAAGTGCTCAGAGGCCGAATTTAAAGAATTTAAACCGCGTCACTGAACCGCCAAAACCGGTTCCAGTTAGCGCCGGCTCAAATCTCAAAATACTGAATACAATTTCAATGGAATCAACCATGTTTGAGCCGTGTCTCAAATTTGTGACACAGCAAAAAATAACTTAAATTCGGCCTCTAAAGAATCTTTAAGCCCTAGCGTTATCTTAGAGAACAGTTTTTTACTTTCTTTCTAGAGAAACACAATATATAGAGCAGAAACTTTTAAATTTACAATATTTTAACGAAATTATTTTATTTCCGATTTTAAAACAAATAGTGAATCTTTGCTAGCTTTGTCTCAAATTAAGAATATCTTACCATTAAACATTCGTCTACTTGTTTATAACTCTCTTGTAAGGCCTTTTATTGAATAAGGAATTGTTACTTGGGGAAGGGTTAAATCTATAAACTGCAAAAAATCAGATCTTTGCAAAAAAGGGCAATTAGAGTGGTTAATAATAGTACTTTCAAGGCACATTCAAATCCATTATTTTCAAAACTGAAAGTTCTTAATCTTGATGATAAATACAAAATTAGTGTTCTGACATTTATGCATGTATACTTTAATGATAACCTTCCCTCTTCCTTCCAAAATATGTTTAAGTCTCTAGCAGAATCGAATAGAACAAAATGTTTCCTAGATTATGGAATGCAATTGAAATTGACCTTGAAGAAACTAAATCTGCAAAAATATTTAAACAAAGAGTAATCAATATATATCTTGAGAATTATGAAAGGTTTAAATGCGGAAAACCTAGCTGTATATCGTGTGAATAATTTTTATATAAAAAAAAAATAAAATAACTGAAACTTTATTAGCTTATTTCTGTATCTGTAACTACCATCATTAACACCCAGTATTTTAATTTATCTCTACATAAGAATCCCTCTGATCTCACCCTGCCACAAATCACCTGACAATCTCCTTCCTTCCAATCAACTCCTTACCTATCCAAAAACATAATCTGATATATGTAACCAATTGTATCAATTATATTCAGTATCGTTATTTAACTTAGGGCCAACCACTCAAAACAACCAACCCTGTTTAGGCGGGTCAAAACAATTGGATTGCCTATCTGTAATATCTCATGCTTAGTAGTTGAATAAAAATGTGAATGAAATGTTCCAAATGTAATTTCAAGGTGCCCTCAATGTTGGCAGGCCCTTAAATGCTTTGTATAATCAAGTATGAATTAGATATTAATGTTTTGTTTCTTTAAACTGTTCATTTTACTTTGCGGGTTATCTTTGAAAGTGGCCTGATTTTTTGCTTATAAGAAGCAATGGAGAAATTATCTAAATTAAACATTTGTCAAGCTAGAAAACGACGGTGTATCTTCTATATTTTTGCTCAGATTAAGGTTTCAACTTCAAGGGTACTGTTGTAAATCGGGAATTGTCATCTTTGAATGGAGGGTCAACTGAAATTACTCGTACAGTATCTTAAACACGGTAAAGCCACAGGGAGCCGTAGTACATTTGAATTTCCGAGCCGGGTCAACCTATCCGGTCCCAGTTTGTACTGTAACTAGCTCTATGGACAGGACTAGCTGGTGCAACACTATGTTGACGCGGTCAGACTTTATGCTTCATATAGGTCCAATTTACTTTTACTAAAGAGGCAGAGGTGCATGGAGCATAAACCTGTTAGTGTTAAAATATAATAATTAACCATGAGTTATCAGTTTAAAATTTTATCCTGGTTTATTTGTTTTCTGTCAAAATATCAATGATTATCAGATGTACCAGTCTTCTAGTTTACTTTCACATCTTAATTATATATTGTGATTCATTCATTCAATCATTTATTGATCAACCCTTTACAGTGCATATACAATACATACAGATACAAGGAAGGGATTCATTCAAGCGTTCAAAACTTTATTCAAAACTCAGCAACATGGAGGTTGGAAAGAAATCAATGGAGAACTATCGGAGACCCCTCACATCGAAGACCCCCAGATTTTATTGGAGACCCCAAGCTTTTTATCGGAGACCAATGGGCCTGCAATGCGTATAGGGGGTCTCCAATAAGCAGCTGGGGTCTCCAATGAATATAGGGGGGTTTCCAATGAACAACTGGGGTCTCCAATGAATATAGGGGGTCTCCAATAAACAGCTGGGGTCTCCAATGAAAATCTGAAGGTGTCCGATAGTACTCCAATGATCATGACATCTTCCCGGCTAAATTGTTTTTCTAAAACTGATTAATTTAAGAATTAACATGGACGGTTTGTTTGTGATGTATAGTGCAGTGTAATGTTGGATAGTGGTATCACTTCTCTCCCTATTCATCATTATTTCCGACATCATGGGTTCTGTACTCTTACTCTTATTATTTACAAAATTATGGAATTGGATTGAATTAGAGCTTAAAGAAATCAAATCTGCAAAACCGTTTAAAAGAAAAATTTTCAAAAACTATTTAGATAGTTATGCAAGTTATTTATGTGAAAAAATAACTGTTTTTCATTTGGATAAACTTAGTCTTTACTATCTTCTTCACCCTGTAATTCATAAACATGATTCTAATAATATATGTTACCCTCTGTTACAACCCTTGCGCTGAGTACCCACCCTTTCCCTTATACTTTTTCACCCCCTCCTTACCTTATTCATGATTTATCATCATTGTTTTGTTTAAAATGTACACTGTACACTTACAGTGAATATCCATCTATTTGTTTACAATTTCAATCAAAACAACCAACTCTGGTTAGGCGGGTCCAAACTACATAGTAAATTGTGATTTTTTATTTTTATTATCTCTTGCTTTGTAGTTGAATAAAAATATGAAATGAAATTATCCCTCCATTGCTCCGGTTTAAAATATTTCAAGAAAACTAGAGATTAGTTAAATATACGTAAAAGTGGCTGCAGGTCAAATTAAACATTATTTCTAATTTAATCCTAGGTTGTCTGATTCAGGTTCATAATAATTAAACCGTTTAGATAATTAATCTATTAACACAATTATCTTTATTAATGTATAGTTAACAAGGAAACCAAGTATAGAATTAAAGGTTTTTGAATAATCTTTTTGTTTGTTTATATTCTTGTGATTTTTACATTTTTTTATTTTTTTTTATCGATTTTGATGGTTATTATATCGTTAGAACTGACGAGGGTCAACCCAGACTGAAATATATTTTCAATAAATGTGGAACTAACATCTACTTTTTTACTCTACAGAGGTTTGGTCCATCACCATCACTGAATTCTAAAAGTAGTTATCTATCTATCCATTCCTTCTATCTACCTATAGTAGTTATCTATCTATCGATTCCTTCTATTTACCTATAGTAGTTAACTATCTATCCATTCCTTCTATCTTCCTATAGTAGTTATCTATCTATCCATTCCTTCTATATACTTATAGTAGTTATCTATCTATCCATTCCTACTAACTACCTATAGTAGTTATCTATTCATTCCTTCTATCTACCTATTGTAGTTATTTATCTATCCATTCCTTCTATCTACCTATGTAGTTAACTATCTATCCATTCCTTCTATCTTCCTATAGTAGTTATCTATCTATCCATTCCTTCTATATACTTATAGTAGTTATCTATCTATCCATTCCTTCTATCTACCTATAGTAGTTATCTATCCATTCCTTCTATCTACCTACAGTAGTTATCTATCCATTCCTACTATATACCTACAGTAGATAGTAGTTATCTATCTATCCATTCCTTATATCTATCCTTCTATCTTTATTGTGAAACAATGTGAGTGTTCACTACTGTTTATTTAATAAAATATGTATTACATTTTAAAATTTCTTAAACTATGTTATGCCTATAATATATTTATATAAGGTTCTGCTATAGTAGGCTCGGGTTGAGGTACAACTTCTTAAACAATCGATTCTGAACAAATATAGTTGTTATCATTAGGTTTTAAATAATATTGAAAATATTTATGTTAGAAAAATCGATTATATAAATCATTATAATTTTCAATTGATTACGAAAATGATATAATTTTGAAAACACTTTTAAATTTATTCACCTCAAAAACACAGGTTTCTTTAAAGTCATCTCCAGAATTAAATCTCAAATCCTTTAAATGTAAAATAGTTAATTAGTCCATTTAAAGACGAAAAATATCAAAAGACTATGTTTTTGTACGAATGCTAATCAGTTTGAATAAGAAAATAAGGAATTTTCAGTTTTTTCCATGGTATAAATAGTGTTCATTTCACATAGATATTTAAAATTCTGTAACATGAGGGATTGAAAAAAAAACACGATTCCACTTTTTTATTATTTTTACTAATAAAAATATGGGAAAACTCATACTTTGGAATAATTTGATATTTCTCCAACAAACATAGGAAAATGTTCAAAATTTATCACTTTAATTTCTATCTAATATACCTCTGAAACCAGATACATCAGATCACTTAGCTCAGTATCTTTTGCATGTTCAGCTAAAACCTAGAATAACAAATAATAAGATTTATTTAACAACATTATAGTTTAAACTAAGAGGCTTCTTTTAATTTTATCATTATCAATTGGTTTAAAATTTCAGTTTAACAACTTATTGCAGCACTTTAACTCCATATTCTCAACAGTGCTGTACATGAGTAGCAGTCCTGTAGCAAATATTGTGTAAACATGATATTCTGTAAACCTGCAGTTTGTTGTACATTATTAACAATTTATGTTGTAGACTTATACATAATGACATTATTCATTGGAACTGCATTTTTACTGAATACGTAGCATGATTAGATTAAATCATGTAATATACATGTTTGGAGATAGCTTAACTACGTTATATCTATTCTCGTTAATCTTATAAATACACACATTAAACTTTAACTGTGTGTTCAATACGTAATATGATTGTCTTAATCATGTGATATAGATAGCAATGTAGGAATTGTAATTATGTCCTTTCATGTTAACTTGTGACATGAGATATTTAATAAAGTCAGTTTATAGAGTAACTCTGTACTTATTACTGCGAGAGAGTAATCCTGAAACCCTGTGTTAATATAACCAGGTGGGATCATCCCCATCATTGGGGATCGATAGTATAGCTTGTTGATAGCTAGGCTTGTGTGCTCGTGTGGCATTTAGCGAGTACTGAAACCCTGTGTTGATACATAACCATGTTGGATCGTCCCCATCATTTGGGATTGATATATATAGCTTGTTGATAGCTAGGCTTGTGTCCTTGTGTGCCATTTAGAGCACTGATTGGATAGCTTGTTTTATAGCTACGCTTGTGACCCTGTGGGACATTTAGAGCCGGGATTAATAGCTTATTGGATAGCTACGCTTGAGTCCCGGCCGTGTGGCATTTAGAGTCAGGTGTGTTGAGTCCTGTTTGATAATAGCTTGTTGGAAAGCTACGCTTGTGTCCCTCTATGGCATTTAGAGCCAGGTGGGGTGTGTCCTGTTTGATAACAGCTTGTTGGATTGCTACGCTTGTGCACTGGTGAAATTATTTATTCTGAATATCGTGCTATAGCAGAGTAGTAAACAGTGTTAAACGTAACACATTAATGAACGTGTTTACTCTTCATGCTATTTAATGACATGATAAAGATTTTTTAATCAGAAATAAGTTCACTGCAGCCCTATTCTGTAAACATTGAACAAATATCAATGTATACATTAGAGGGCTAACAGTCTGCTATGTTGTTTGTAAAGATAATCAGAAAGTAAATTTTTCCTTATTTACGTTGCAATAACTGTTCTTTTACCTTGCAATAACTGTTCTTTTACTTAGCAAAAACTATTTTTTACCTTGCACAAACTGTTTTTTTACCGTGAAAAAACTGTTTTTTTACCTTGCAAAAACTGTGAACAAAATGTGTTCCATTTTGTGAATCCCTCAGAGCTACATAGCCTAAAAAACAATGCTATTTGAAGATTATACGTTAAATGTTTTTTTAGATTTCTTAACTCTGCTAACAACTGCAAATTATCTTTTGGCTGATTTTTTATATTTCGAATTTTTGAAGGTTTTTAGGCCATGCAAAGTTTTTGATTTCTGAGTAGAGAACTTTTGAACAGGAAAATGAGTTAAACTTAAATCCTCTTATTTTTTAGTTCTTAGTTTTTTCATGCATTACATCATTTGAATTTTTAACTAATGATAGAGGATTAATCTCTTAGCCAATCTTAGACCAATGAGATATTATCTTTCCACGATAAGCTTATGAGTTCAAATAATTCCATTATTTTAATAGTTTCTAACTCTTGCATGAACAATCATTTTCATGCTTTTCATAAGAGAAGCTTTTTTAATTGACAGCTTATCGTGGTTTGCATGATCTGTGCGTCCATGCTGTTTAAAACCTTTATTTAAACCAAAATTGAAATCGAAAGTCGTCTTCATTGTATTTATGCGACGATTAAGACTGTATTTATCTGGATCTCAGTGCTGGCCCCACAAAGACAACAGTTTGGACCCGTATACGATCTCATAGAACATACAAAACTATTATTTTTTTCCAAGTGGAAGTGTAGCGCAGACAATCAGCATGTCGGAGTTGGTACCTCGAAGTGTAGAGTAGACAATCAGCATGTCGGAGTTGGTACCTGGAAGTGTAGCGTAGACAATCAGCATGTCGGAGTTGGTACCTGGAAGTGCAGCATAGACAATTAGCATGTCGAAGTTGGTACCTGGAAGTGTAGAGTAGACAATCAGCATGTCGGAGTTGGTACCTGGAAGTGCAGCATAGACAATTAGCATGTCGAAGTTGGTACCTGGAAGTGTAGAGTAGACAATCAGCATGTCGGAGTTGGTACCTGGAAGTGTAGTGTAGAGAATCAGCATGTTGGAGTTGGTACCTGGAAGTGTAGCGTAGAGAATCATCATGTCGGAGTTGGTACCTGGAAGTGTAGCATAGACAATCAGCATGTCGGAGTTGGTACCTGGCAGTGTAGCATAGACAATCAGCATGTCGGAGTTAGACACATCTTTCTAAACAATAACTCATGCTTCAATACCGGCCATCAATTGAATTCTCTTTAATAGTGGATTGGATGGGACTGGTTTTTTGGACAAATATTTAATCAACAATTACCCAAATGGCAAAAACTAAATTTACGACACTGATAAGCTGTTTCTGGGATTATAATAAAATAAAAGATTGATTTCTTCAGAAAAAAAATATTAATTTTAGCATCATTTAAAAAAACAGCTTTTACTGCATTAAATTCATTTAAGAAACATATAACACTGTAAAATTATTACAATTACAAGGATATTATGATATATATGAAATGTTTAATGTGTATGTACTTTTTAATTAAGAATTTATAACCTTGGGCTCTACAGGAGGGATAGCAACACTTCTTGACATTCCCCTGTAACAAAATATTATAAAATAAAGCATTGTCATAATAGAAATAGAGATCAACACTTGATCTCCTCTTTTTGTTAATCTGCAGATTAATTTAATCTTTGTTTGATATCCAAGAAAGTGTCTAAAATTCAACCAATCAGTGTGTCATATCAAGCAATCGGTATCCAATCAGTGTGTCGTATCAAGCAATCGGTATCTAATCAGTGTGTCTTATCAAGCAATCGGAATCCAATCAGTGTGTCATATCAAGCAATCGGTATCCAATCAGTGTTTTGTATAAAGAAATCGGTATCCAATCAGTTTGTCGTACCAAGCAATTGGTATCCAATCAGTGTTTCGTATCAAACAATCGGTATCCAATCAGTGTGTCCTATCAAGCAACCGGTATCCAATCAGCGTTTTGTATCAAGAAATCGGTATCTAATCAGTGTTTTGGATCAAGCAATCAGTATCCAATAGTGTTTCGTATCAAGCAATCAGTATCCAATCAGTGTTTCGTATCAAGCAATCGGTATCCAATCAGTGTTTCGTATCAAGCAATCAGTATCCAATAAGTGTTTCGTATCCGGCAATCGGTATCCAATCAGTGTTTCGTATCAAACAATCAGTATCCAATCAGTGTTTCGTATCAAGCAATCGGTATCCAATGCAGCAAGAGTTCCAAGCTCTGATAGCAATGCAGTTGCATGCTTGATCAGATTTTTTTCTTTATTTAGGGCACTTCAGCTAAACTTTTTTAAAACTAAATATTTTTATTTTCAGCTAAACTCATGATTTAATAACAACTTAACAAGCTCGGGTAAACTGCAGAAGTGACAATGCGTAATAATTTTTACGTTCTAAGTGCATATTTACTAATTGCACGTATTATTTATTTAATTCCAATGCATTTAAATGGTATTTCGTGAGTTGAATGTTAGGGGCATTAAAAGCAAAACTACCAAATATGCACAAAATCACAAAATAATCTGCGTAATTGCAAATGAATCACAAATAAGTCATTTGAGATCAAGAAAAAGATAAAAATCAAAACTTTGTTCTGTACAATCAAAGTTCTACATCAAAACAAAAACAATAAAAATAAAACACTTACATTTGTTGGAACATAACAGAATCAGCTTTATCTGAAAACAACAGAAAAAATGTAGAAATTTTAGAATCTGTAATCATCATTATATTCTTAGAATATGATGGCAAGAACAATTGTTTTTTAATTGTTCTTGCCATCATAGGTTAACTTTTACAGAATACAGTTTTGAATCCTTCCTTCCTTGCTAGGGCTTTTGTAAACAACTTAAAAACTAATTCGTTAAAACATGTTAGATTAACATGCTTCAAAAGGTCAATAGCATGTTTATGAAATTAGAGATTTTCAGAATATTATTGAATGTTAAATATCAATACTTTTAATGTTATTTTTTTTTGATTATTTGACTAATTGCTTATACACCATTTCATTTTAAGGTTGAAGGAATTGGACTAAAGGTGACTTTTCAGGAAGTTTTTTATTTTATACATCACAAGCTGAAGGGCGTTGCCCGTGAAAAAAAATTGAAAAAATTATAGAAAAAAAACTTAAAAAAAAATTTTTTTGGAAAAATAATTTCGAAATTATAGCCTATAACACCCCCCGGCCACCCCTGAGTGTCCACAAAAAATTTCAGCCCAATCGGTCCTGCCGTTTTGCCGGGTATAGACAACATAGTTCATTTTCATTTTGTGTCTTATGTAAGGTAATAAATTTTAAAAATAATTGTTTACAGATATTATTTGCAGTAACCTTGAACTACTCCGTAATCAATATCTTGTCCCCTGCAGGCCTGGAACAGGAATAGTTTGGGTTTTCCCCGCAGAGTGTCGCAGTTCTCATTGTTAAACTTCCTTCAACAGAATATTCTTTAGGAAAAAAAGTATAGACTCTTTTTCCTGAATTGGTTTTGAAAATACCTTATGATCTCCTTTTCGATGCATACCTAAACAGTGTACATATGTTAATTTAAAAAGACTCATAATCAGAAAGACATTGAATTTATTTATAATTAAGAAGACGACTTTTCAAACTAATTTAAGAAATTTGATTAATGAAACGAAAATAACAAAATAGCCCTAGTCCTCCCAGTTTTAAAATGTTGTCTGCCTTTATTGTAACGTTTGAAATTACCATTGATGTAAATGTAAAGTCGTCTGATTAACTGTTAATTAATTCCAGGTCTTTCTGGTTATGACTGTAGTAGATAATAATGGTAAGGTGACCCTATGGTAAAAGAAATAAACAATTAAAGTTTCTTAAACGTTTACAAGATCGGCTAATATACGTACAGTGATCGATAGAATAAAGTGGAATGGGGTTGACCTAAATTCAGTGTCAAATCTATTTATTAGACATGTATATTTATATTCATTATAATTACCACTAGCTGAAGGACCCTGCGTTGCCCGTGGAATACAAATTTTAAAAAAAAAATTGCGATTTTTTAGCCTATGAGTGTTTACAAAAAATTTCAGCCCAATCAGTCCAGCCGTTTGGCCGGCTATACGCAACATATATACGAATGTCTTGGTTTATTATATAGATTGTTCTTATAAGTTTAAACTTTCTAAATAAATTTCTTTGTTTTAAAGTATTTTTTTATTTTACACATTTTGGGAATCACTGTACATCTGAACGCAATATATTTATATTATATTATTATTATATTATTATATTATATTTCAAACTATTAATTCGTTAGATCAAATAGTCAAACTTTGAAATAGCAACTTAAAAAAATAAAAAGTTAGAGTTTGAAGCAAGTAATCAGTTGGTTTACTTTCTGAGAATCTGAAGTTATGATAGTTCCTTCTTCTCCATGAGATAGAACACAAACAATCATCATCTCACATTTACTAAAATTAATTTTAAATCAAATTTATTTTTTCCACATCAATATGACACAATTGAGCAAAACATGTACAAGAATTTTGTATCAACTTTTGGGAATTAGCCGAATTAAAAGTTTTCTCTTTTTAAAATGTTCATTCTTTTAAAATCTGTTTATAACGATTTTAAAGCAACAATCAACTTTTTTGACGCTTCACCTTGGATGAAGAGTATCTTGTTAAATCTTTTAATAATCTCAGAAATGTTTGATCTTTAAAAAAATTAAAAAACTTTTGATAGTTTTCGTTTTGAGTTTTGAGAGACTAATTTAAAAATGGAAGAGTTATCAAGGCCCAAGGGTATCAATTAACCCAATGGAAGAGTTATTATTAGTTTCAAGGGTATCAATTAACCCAATGGAAGAGTTATCAAAGCTCAAGGGTATCAATTAACCAATGGAAGAGCTATTACTAAGGTCCAAGGGTATCAATTAACCCAATGGAAGAGTTATTATTAGTTTCAAGGGTATCAATTAACCCAATGGAAGAGTTATTATTAGGTCCAAGGGTATCAATTAACCCAATGGAAGAGTTATCAATACCAAGGGTAATAATTAACCCAATGGAAGAGTTATCAAGGCCCAAGGATACCAATAAAAAAAATGGAAGAGCTAAAATAAAGGAATCAAGAATTGATCCTAAAATTAAAAGCGCCCACATTGGTTTTTGAGATCAAGCGAGATTCTTCTACTGTTTACAAATATTTACCCCCTAGGTCCTTGTCCCGGGTAGTTTCCTGGATAAAAATATTTACCCTANATTTATTCATATTAAAAACGTCCTAGGATTTGTTAAACAAAATTTCGTGGATTTAAAATTTTTTTATGAAAATCGAATTTTGTTGAATTTTTTTGGAGGCTAATTTTGAAATTTTGATCATCCATAAACTTTCCCTGGGGACATGTGCGGTCCCACACAAAAGTTGGGTCCGATCGGATCAGCTGTTTTTCCTTTATTGAATACAAACAATCAGACAATCAGACAGACAGACACCCAAGCAAACTATTATATAAATATTATTACTTGAGATCAAATTTATATTTACTTGGAATCCTAGTTGTTTCAGAAGAGAGTTCAATTTTTCTTCATCCCTACGCGATCCTGTTCTGTCAAAATGAAAATGGATTTATTTACCACCCCGGACTAACCAGAGTGAGAAGCATTTGGTTTCTTTTACTTGAAATCAAACGTATTTTGGTCTATAAATCAACAACCTTTCAGCTTACGGATTTGTTTATCTATACTTTTTCATTCAAAATATAAATGCCGACAAAACAGTACTTGAGAAAAAAAGGCAAACAAATTATGTGTAATGGGTAAAATTATGGTCGAAAGTCACAGCTTTCTAAAATTTAGGAATTAGGTTCTTTCCAGAAAAACTGATTTTCTAATTCCCGACTTCGTAGACCTTTGATATTTCAAACTATAAATTCTGATTGATAGAATGGTCTTAGTTTAAAATATCAAAGGTATACGCCAAAGGTACAGGGATAATAATATTTCAGTTTGTGGCAAAAACTCAATTCCTATTCCAAGTCTATAATTGTCTATTCATCAGACAAATAACATATTTTAGGAATAATTTGGGTAAAACAGTGATAATACAAAAAAGTTATTTTTACATTTTAAACGACAAAAAACTGCAGAAAAATTGTTTCTTTTTTATTTTGATAAATGATAGATTTTTATAGATTAATTTTTCAACAAAAATGTTATTCTTGAATCCTAGAACTAGAAGCTATAATTTCTTTTCCCATGAATGCAAGCAATAGTCTTTTAACATGCTAAGTTTCTTAATTTTAACTTGATTCCCATGTTTATTAATTCCAGGGCGCAACTTTCCCTTTTTGGAAGGGGAGGCGCGGGGGGGGGCGAATATTTTTGTTACAAAGGTAGAGAGTGGCGGGCAACACGGCGGATGAAAGTTGTGTTTAAATCTGAAATTGCTCTACTTTTGATTCTGTGTTCCAACTTTCCAAGGTAATAATGCAAGGAAAGTTAATTGCGGTTGTGTAAACTCTGCGTACATATTAAAACCAGTTCTCTATGGGCGGACTTTGTAAACAAGAATAGATGCATCAGTGGTCGTCTAGTGTCCGAGGAGGATTAAAGCATTTAATTTTGATAATATAATTTTGATAATTCACATAATAGTTTCCTATTACAGAAGATTTCATAGATTATTTTTGTGAAAATCGATTCAATGTCAGGCTGTGGAATCCGTCTTGTGTTTACTTTCCACAAAATTTCAGATGTGCACAAAAAATGCGTACACATCTGAAATAACTTTCCTTGCATTAGTACCTTGCTGTGTTCGATGTTAAATGTACACCGAATTAATCCATGCTTCTGTTGTGATTTTTTAAAATAAACTTCCAACAGCTGCATAGTGCACTTTGTTCAATATTTGTGCGAAGCGGAAAAATATTCATTCTTTCATTGTTTTACATTATCCAATTTTATGAAATATATTTGTATTATTTATCAGTTGGCTGCTTAATCTTATTCACCTTTTAGTCACCTTTTACAGTCTACAGCAGTTTTTTGTAATTCATCCACTAGTCATATTTGTCCACTAAGTCACATAATCGTAGGTCTGTGCAGTCCTAAGTAGTAAGTAGTTCCTGGCAGTACTGGACTATATTTCGTCTGTAAAAGTCTTTATGATCGAAATCCCTTTGTCCTTGTTTGCCAGTACGGGGTTTATTCCTGTTTCGCTCTTATAGTTTGCAAAAGTCCTATTAGTCTGATATAATCCTTTCAATTNGATACACAGGGATACAACTGCAGTAAATACATCGGATACACAGGGATACAACTGCAGTAAATACATCGGATACACAGGGATACAACTGCAGTAAATACATCGGATACACAGGGATACAACTGTAGCAAATAAAACACATACAAATGTTCTAAAACCATTCTGTTAAAATAAAAACAAAACTGTTATAGTTTTCAGCATCTTAGTTTGACTCTTTTTAATTCTTTTTAACAAGAATATTTCATTGAAATTTCTAAAATGTTTGGATGAGCATTGTTCCACAATCATAATTCAGTTAATTATATTTGATCTAAAATCATGTAATGTTCTTAACAAATTAGTTATATGTAGGACAAATAATTTGCAAGACAAAATGTTTTCTGAGCTGAAAACTTGAGACTGAGAAATCCTTAATCCCAATTTTCTTAATTTGAGTATCCATTGGACTCACTTTTGATTTTCTTCTCAACCCGTTCTTTTTTGGATTTAGTACAATAGGATTTAGTGTAGACAAATCAAAAACTGGTTTTTCAAAATTAGAGAGTCCCTCCCGTTTCTGTATATTAATCTTTAATGTCGCCCAAAATTTTAAAAGGAAATGAGTCTTTGCCACAAACTCTGCTTTTCTAAATCCCATATCTTTGGATTCCAATGTCGTAGACCTTAGATATTTCAAACTATGAATTCTGTTAGATCAAATAATATAAGTTTGGAATATTAAAGATTTACGACAATGGATTCCAAAGATAAAGGGATTATAAAATCAGAGTTTGTGACAAAGACTCAGTTCCTTTATCGGCTTCATATACGCGACTCTGATTGGTTGAATTTTATACACTTTTCAGGATACATGGACTAGTTTAGGTTAGTTTCGATATTAAGAAAAAGAGAGGATCAAGCATTAATCTCGATACAAACCATTCTAAAGTTTTCCCCTCAGACAAATAATGTGTAAGACAAATAATGTGTAGGACAAGATATCTTAAAAACAAATAATCTGGCAGACAAATTAATTTTAGGACAAATGATATGTAAGACAAATAATGCGCAGGACAAATAATGTTTAGGACAAAAAATGTGCATGACAAGTGATGTGTAGGGTAAATAATGCACAGGACATATAATGTATAGGCCAAAAAATGTGTAGGACAAATGCAATGTTGTACAAATGATGTTGAGGTCAAATAGTGTTGAGGTCAAATCATCAAGTGATGTGTAAGACAAATAATGTGTAGGACAATTGATGTGTAAAACAAATGATGTGAAGGACAAATAATATGCAGAGAAAATAATGTGTTGGGTAAAAATTGTGTAAAGAATTATATTTTTAAGACAAGTTGTATTTGTGAAGTTTAAACCATTTTTTTGAATTTATATCTTTAAGTTTACACCAAAAATATCTTATAACCTGTTAACTGTGATTTGTCCAACATTTGTCAACTTCTCTACAACTGGGAAATTGAGCTTTTTTCTTTCATTTTCTGTCAATACTTCCTAGTCATGCAAATATAATAACATTAAAGAAATATACGGATAATTTACAAAGGAATTAAGGAAATGAAGTTTAGAAGTTTTAAATACTATATTTAGTGCAAACAAATCTGAGTCTAAAACTAAAGAACGAAAAGTTTTGACTTAAAATGCCACTTTTGACTTAATTTAAACCAGAACTTTAACCGTGAGGTTAAATATTTAAATATTTAACCCTGTGGTTAAATATTTAACTCGCCGAAATCGACGAGTTAAAATCTAAACACAGGGCTAAAATCTTGAAATCCCGCAATCCCTACTTGTCTATAATCATTCAGCGGTAAGCGGTCCGGCATTCAACTAATTACAATATATTTAAAAGTAAAAACCTTGATTTAACCTTTCAAGGTTTAATTTAATAAATTTCTCGTTTTAGATTAATTAATGTTTGCACGTAAACCCAAAATACGGTTGTAACTGGAAATGTGTTCTGTTTTTCGTCACGTGTGACGTAAATAATTTAAAATTTAAAAAACAGCTGATTACCGAATACAGATACTTACGTAATAATTCTCCGTAAATCCTTTTCTCTGATTCAGATTGGTTCAAATTTTTCCCGGGAAATTCAAATTTAAAATTGAGAAAGTTTAATATTTAAGTAGCTATTCATTATTTTACAGGACTTTTAACCTCGAACTTAAAATTCGCGCATTCTTTAGTTTTAGACTCTGTGAAATAAACTTTTAAAACTTCACACTTGTTTCCAAAATTGCTTATAAAACTTAATGACAAAGTTATGAAAGATCAAGAAAAAAGTTTAAAATGTTTTACAAGATAATTTGAAAATGTTTTAATAAGATAATTTTTTAAAAATCATTTAAAACTAAGAAATTTACATACATTTACTTTGCCTTTAAACTCAAAAAGTGAAAAATAACTGTTTACAACACAATTTAGTTTTCAACTTCCCATATCTAAGCAACCTGATGGTGTAAACCTTCGAAATTTTAATATTCAACTATATAATCCAACAAGATGTAAGGTTTGAAGTTTATGGAATAAGTTGGCATAAATATAAAGATTAGAAAATAAGAGTTTGAGGTCAGTAATCAGTCCCTTTACTTGTAAAACCACACCGGGAAAATTTTTTAAATAATTAAAGTTGACTCACCTGATCAGAGTTTACACCAGTACTTAACAAAGTAGATTGTAAACTTTGAACTTTTATCTTTTCTACAATATTAGATAATTTAGTTTTTTTTTAAAATCTAAATTCATCTTTTTTACCTTTGTTAGATGCCGGGTTTTCAACTCTAGAATGTTTTTTTAAACAAAATGACCCCTTAGCATCATTTCAAAAATTTTATTCAAGATATATTTGTAATGTTAACCCTATAAAGGCTGGGGGGGGGGGGGGTTTTAATTTTTGTGTGGCGGGGGGGGGGGGTAGTTCGTGACCCCCCCCCTAGAAAAAGGCCTTGGAAAATAGGTACAGAGTTGAAATGCATGTTCATAGCCCAACTTTTCATGGCCAGCTCAAAGAAAAAAAATTAGAAAGAAAACTTTAATAGATTAGTGGTAAAGGGAGGGAGGTAAAGAAAGGCCAAAAAAGGGTAAAAAAATGAAGAATTTTTTTGTTGTTGTTTTAAGTTAATATTAAATAAAAAATAAAAAAATATATTTTGTTAACAAAAAAAATTAAATTACTATTCATTTAAAGTCTCAAAATTTCACGGTGATGGCGTCAAAAATGAGAGTGCTAGGACAAAAAAAACTACAGGGGGGGGGGGCCAAATGCCCTCCCAGCCTGTTTAGGGTTAAGTAACCCCCTGAATTAAAACAACCATGTCATCGTCATCGATTTACAACGGTACACTGACTCACATTGATCTATATATAGTAATGCAAAATACCCATCAACTGGGCCGATTTTAAAGTGTCACAATGGTAGTTTACCTTTAAACACAAGTTGAAATGTTCTCCAGCCAGGGATATTTTATTTTTACAGCCGCAAAGCGGGTTTTCAAGTCTTAGTGTTGATAAAGTTTTTGGCAAAAGCCCTGTTTTATATTTAACAAATGATTGTATAAAAAATTCCTTGCTTTCAAGTATTCGGTGATTTTTGTCCCAGCTTCTTCATAATCATTGTTAACCAGGATATTTCTAGTCAAGGTTTTTAATTAACATAAAATTTAGAAAACTACTATTAATGATATGAATTGTTTGAATAGTTTTAAATCTTAAATGTTAGAATATTTAAATGAATGTTAGAGTTTTGATTTAGAAAATTCAATGCGTTCCAACCTTAGTTTTTCAATATCCTCTCTTCCGGATTCAAATATCTTGGAAAACGCATACTTAGAAAACTCCTCCTTCAATATAATGGAAATGGCTGAAAAAAGAAAAAAAATGATTTTTTAAACTTAGGCAATATTAGCTTCTTATTCAAATTATATTTATTCAAGAAAGATAAGGTATTACAGTGATAACCAGAAAATAAATGGAAGTGAAATGGGCCTGTTTACACTGCACAATTGCTGTTCCTTATGTGAATTATACTTTATAAAATTATTACTTGATTCGAGAAGTCGTCTTCCAATTTCAGACTTTTCTGGTTATCACCGTATGTAACCGTGGAGTTTTAGGGGGCTGGGAGACATTGCCCCTGACAAATAGAAAAGGTGTTTCTCCGTTAGAATTATTTTGTACACAACTAGAGACAGCTTCTTTATTTCGAATTTTTAAATTGTTAAAAACAAATATTTTGCCTCTTTTTTTAATCCCTGGCCAACCAACTTTATAACTTCTTTTTTTTTGTATTTTTCCTTCAAAGTTGAACGTTAAAAAAAAAGATGTGTCTAAGCTATAAATTTTGGTACTTTTCACTTTCTTATACCTGTAATAAATATCCCCGAGTACTATATCAGGGACCTATATTCCTTCTAATAACTATTATTATCATTTTATGCATATTTCGTCACCAAATAAACATTATCGTTCACGAACCTTGTAAATATATATATGTGCTAATTGGGTGCCCGCTACGCCAGTCACCCTAATTTGACCTGTGACCTTATTATTCAATAAATAATTAGTATAATGTAAAACCTAGCGTTGAATAGACCTGGCTTGAACCCTAGGTAGAGAAGGCAGAAATACAGTGCGTTTTCTGTGAGTAAGATTGATTCGGAAAAACTGGCATCTGACATACCTATTATCTGCCCCACACCTACAATTGTATGATTTTTAAAATGATTTCTCACAATAACATCTTGGATCGGCTGCATTAAGGACATCTAATCTTGACCTGGCAAAGTGTTTGTTTTAAAAGAACAACTGTACTTTTAAATATTTATGAAAGGTCTATCTAATTTTTGATTCATTTTATTCTGAAAAAAAATGTTTAGACCATAATTCCATCTTCCTTGTGCATAGAATTCTTGTTTCTTGACCATTGGTTAAAGGATAGAGAAGGAAGGTTGAGAAGGTTTATCTCCAGGTTTGGAGTAAACTCAACAGTTCTCTCCAGGTACCTCCTATCATACTGCAAAACTCAGGACACTAATCAGCTAAGCTTAAAGGCTTAAAAAGTTTTTTATCAAGACTTTATGATAATGTCATCAGAGATAAAAATAAAGTGTTTCTATATCAAATCTTTAAAAAAGAAAATTTTCAAAATTTCTTTTTGAAATCAAAACATAACAGTTCGTTTAAAAAGACAAGCATTCTTTAAAGAAATACCCAAAAGTTATCAACATCTAAAAGTAGTTCTTTTTTCACAAACAAAAGTTTTTTTTTTTATAAATATCAAAAATTGAACTGTTACAAACGTTGTTACAAACTCTAAAAGTAGGTCTTGAAATATATTTGCAATGAACTGAGAAAAGCATTATTTCCTTATTTCACTTGATTCTTCTTCACCCATAGTTAGACACTGATGGAGTATATGATCAGGCTGTACTGTTTAATATGCAAATTTGTAAAGATAAGGTCAGCAGAACTTTCTACAAAAGTTGAAATGTTCTTTTTTATTTAATAATTGCCTTATCTATGAGTCACAGTGACACTATATTAAGGATTATAATGATAATTTTGCACTTTGAACTTTCTTTTATCAATGTTTTTACATAATTATTCCAACAAAAAAATAATCCAAACTTTATATTTAAAAATTGAAGTTAAGACAAATTTGGATTCGGGATTTAAGTCCTTATAATTAGATAAAAAAACTCAAAAATGTTGTTTACTTTAAAGTATGAAGATGTTTTGAATATTCTAAGTAAAATAATATATATCATAATAATTATATTATAATAAAGCACATTTTGTGTGTGTAATTTTGCATGTAATTAAGGGGCTGAAATAAAAACAACTATCCTGCACTCCAACCTGAGGCTCTATGCCATTTGTCCTACAATCATGTGTCCTACAGGGCGGGGAAAACTTCATTTGTCCTACATAAACATCATTTTGTCTTACGGCTCATTTGTCCCACACCTCACTTGTCCTACGGCTTATTTGTCCTACACCTCATTTGTCCTACAGCTTATTTGTCCTGCAATTCATTTGTCCTATAGATAGGAGATAACATAATTTTTCATACACTTCATTTTTTCTACTTTTTGAACTGTCCTACAGAGGGAAATAAACATCATTTGTCCTACAATCTATTGCACTCTACATTATTTGTCCACCAGAGATGGGATACAATGATTTGTCCTACAATAGAAAAAATCATTTGTTTCTATAGTAATTAGTAATGTTTAAAAAGTTGAATTCAAATTTTTTTAATATGTTCAATAATATACTGTCATCTTCTGAGCCGAGCGTTGCGGCTAGGATGGGTTAGGGGGCCGAGCGCTGCGGCGTGTTAATAAATGTTAATTAATGAGCTGTCTCCCAAAAAACATTTGCCCTTTTGTAACACTTTTTGACACTATGTTACCCTTAGTAAATATATTCACCTGTTCAATAGAAATAGAACGTAAGAGATTATATAAATGTATATATTTTATGATTTTTTCCGTTCTGTAGGACAAATGAATGTGTAGGACAAATTATTGTAGGACAAATGAATGTAGGACAAATGACATAGCACCCACCCTTATCACCCTGTATCTGTGCATATATGTAAACCTTTATCTGAAAAACAATGAGGAAGATATCATTGGTTTTTTTTTCTCTGGAAAGAGGTCAATTTCATTAATTTCCTTTTTTTTCCATGCGGCATGAATCTGCAAGCAAATTTATAGACTGAAATCTATGTATTTCCAGGATTAAACTACATAAATTCTAAAAATACATTGATCTTAAATTCTATATTAACAAAGTATAACACCCGTAGGTAATATTAAACAACAAACTTTTCTAAATTTATCACAATTACATATATTGCTTTTAAAAAAGTAGTGTTACTTTAAAATATTTTCATCAAGGGGATACAGTGAGACTGTAAAACTGTGGAATAAGAAGACGACATTTAATCAATCATGAAGTGTACTTGATAATTTTACAAAGCAAAAGGTTGTACTGGCTGCTTAAAGGGACGGTAAAGGAAAAATGAAAGGGTGTATAGGCTGAAAGCTAATCACTTTAGCTCTTGATCGCGACCCATGAAAGTTTTATCTGATGTTACTATCTCGAGAAATTGATATAAAACTGTGTTAAAATCATACGAAAGTTCATATATGTAAAATTTAGAAAATCTTAAACTTAAATCACGTGACCAGAACTATCACCAATGGCAGAGCAGTATACTGATCACGTGTCTCTGCCTGTATCACGTGACCACTTTACTGCACTGTCATTGGTGGATTTTCTGGTCAAGCAATTCGGACGTGTAAATAATATTATGAATTAAATCTATTAAAAATAGAATAACAAATATAAAATTAGAATTGGAGTAAACCTAAGTAATAATTAGCTTTCTCGGGGATATTATCGTTTTCAGATTGGTTGCTTATTTGCTGAATTTGATCTATTTAAACCCACTACTTTTATACAAAATTGTATATATATTAATTTTCGTATAAATTTGACACAGTTGTAAATCAATTTCTCGAGATAGGAACATCAGATAAAACTTTCATGGGTCGCGATCGAGAGCTAAAGTGATTAGCTTTCAGTCTATACCCCCTTTCATTTTTCCTTTACTGTCCCTTTAATAATTACTTAACGATTAGCGTGGTATACACTGCACAATTGTTATTGTACGATTGTACTAACAGTCGTCTTCCCATACCACATTTTTCTGGTTCTCACTGTATGTTCTCTACATATGCAGAATATATTCATCACATTAATTCTAAAGCAGAAACTGATTTTGGTTCACATTTTCCATTTACAAGCTCAAACCCCTCAGGACAAGGTCTCCTAAAAAAAAAAAAAAAAATAAGGTAGATTCTCGTAATCTATTTCTATAAATATAATTTGCTTGTGTGTTTGTTTGTTTGTCTCCAATAAACGTCAAAACGGCTGAACCGATCGGGCCCATAATTTTTGTGGCACCACCCGTGACCCCAGTGAAGGTTTATAAATGATCAAAATTAAAAAAAATTGTGTTTAAAATTTTTTATTTTCGTAAAATGTTTTCAAATTTTTGAAAATCGGTGAATTTTTTGTTGAAATCCGCAAACCTTATATATATACTTTGCTTGTATGTCTGTCAATTTTTATTCAAAAAACGTCGAAACGGCTGAACCAATCTGGCCCAAATTTTTTGTAAGACATTGAGTGACCCTAGGGAAAGTTACTGGATGATTGAATTTTATAATATGTGCTTCTAACAAAATTAGATTTTTAAAAATTTTGAAAATCCACTAATTTTTTTTTTATAAAATCCGCGATTTTTTTAGTTTTTAATGTACAATGTATTCAAAACCTGGCTGATTAAAAAATCAAAAGTCAAAGTATCTCAAATTTAGTGAAACCGTGTTACGTATTTTAAAAGAGCTGAATTCAAGTACAAAATAATGGATATTTTCTCTTTATATATTTCTCACAGAGAATAAGTATATGCATGTGTGTGCCTCTTTTAGACCAAAAACTACAAATAAAAATGGATATATTCATTTTTGCACGATTTGTGACTCTCTTGATTTCTTACAAAACTTGGTATTTTTGACCTTTTCTTTAATTTCTAGGTTTTTTCCTCGTCGATTATTTCTTTTTTCAGGAAGGTTAAAACTACCCATCCCTACGGTCCTACAGGGTTATCCACAAAGAATGAGACTGTAAAGAAGACCTAAAACTCGTTAAATCTGACAATTTAAAGGTTAAATGAAGTTTTTTCCTTGAATAGCATCATTTTATGGCTTATATAATAATTAAGGGAAAAAAACAAGTTTACAGTTGCTGCCATGCTGGGAATCATAAATATAAGGAAACAGAGACATTATAAACTCCGCACAGTCGTATCAGTTAGACACTATAAACTCCAAACAGTCGTATCTGAAGTCTCATCCTTTGTGGATATCCCTGTTCATACAATTCACCTGGCGATATAATCAAATAAAGATGGCTCTGCCATCGCAAAGCGCTTAGCAATGCTTCGTCCCCTATAAACATGTAATAAAAACATTTTTTGAGTTTTCTCAGAATGTCAAGCTTATACAAGTAGTAGATTCAACTCCGATTTTCTTATTCCTATATCTTTGCAACCTGATTCTGTACACTTTTGAAACTTCAAACATTCATATTATTTTATCTAACATAACTCATAACAATAGTGTACGACATGGGGTAGCACAGATATAGGCATCAGAAAACCAGAATTCATGGTAAGGATTTACAGTATGTATTATATATATATATATATCTCTGTGAGCCGATCAAAAGGAATAACACTCGAAAGAGGGAAAATAAGGCGAGTTGGCAAGGAAAACACTCTTTCCAACCATACACAGATAGATGAGAACTTCTTGAAAATGTATATTTCAGTAACGAGGTTTCCTACAAAATACAAATTGTTATTGGCGTACATGCATATAAATAATAATTGTTAATAAAGATTAAACAGTTGAAGGTTTTTTTTATCAATAAATGAGTATTGGAATTCTAGGTTGTGTAGGTTTAGTAGGATTGGAGATTTTAGGTTTAGTAGGTTTAGCAGGATTGGGGATTATATTTTTTGCTGTTGTAAATCAATAAATAACGGGTTTAGAGGCACTGTTGTGAATTGATTAATAAAAGGTACTATTGTGAATGGAACTTACAATCTAGAAAACTGTGTTGGGTTGAAAAGTTGTTTGTACTGAAGTCTAAAGCAAATTTAATTCTTCTGAAAATAAATATTTCGTCTGATTAAATAAGTTCACTATTTGATTGCAAATGATTCACTGAAATTATGTTTAAATGGGTTCTTTTAATGCACTTAAAGTTTTATTAGCTCCATGCGGCTNTTATATTTTATAATATTTTTAATTAATTTGTTTTGAATTTGATTATTTCTCTTGTCGCTTGCGCAACTATCTAAGAATGCCGCGCACCACTCACATTTTTCGAAATCAGTTAAAACGTTTTCTAAAAAAATAAAATAATATACAAATGAAGCGTAAGATAATCGATGACTATAGGTTGTACTATCTGAATGATTTGTTTGAAATTAAATGGATTTTTTACGGTCTAAGTTGTATGTTTCAATTTTCTCAATTTGTATGGGCGCTAGGTTATTCGGTATGAGACGTCTTTAACAAGTTTCTCCTTATAGACGCAACAGATAGAAGTAAGATTAGAAGCGATCAAAAGCGCTTTTTTATCGCATTAAGCCTATACCCCTTTTCATTTTTCGCAAACACTCCCTTTAACAAATTCAAAGTTTAAAAATAATAATAATAAATCATTAAAACGACATTATCTTCAACATTGATCAGAAATAAGGTTTCTAGGGTCCTTTTGTGAATCGAGCATTGTTATCTTTGCAAGGATTACATTATATAAATAATTTATTTTAATTGTTTTATTCCAACTGATGATTGGGTTAGACATTTAAACTGAACAAAGTTGAAATATTTAAATATATATATATAATACCTGTCGTAATCTGATACCAGAAGTTGAGGGTTTGCCTGTATATGCAGCACAAAGAAAATTAAAATGATTATAGATAAACCCATTTTTCTGTAAATATGATTTATGTAATGTAAAAAAGGTTTTTATCATTTTTGGAAACAAAATAATCAAAATCAACACTGATCGGAACTTCAGAAGTCAGTTTGGAGACATACGGAATGTGGATAAATTTAATTACTCTCAGATATCCATGCGATGGTCATACTCTACAGGGATATCTCTAATTGAGGGATCAAGCATTATCCTCATTAATAACTTTGCTATGTAACAACATAAAATATTTTTAAGATTGCTTAAATGTTGTATTTATCATTATGAATAAAAAATGTGAACCATTGTCCGAGTATGATAATTAATCATTCGAACTTTATGTATTTACAGACTATACAGTGTGTACAGTGTACATCATTAACAATTACAATATAGCTTGTTTTGTAAATAAAGATATTCTTGTATTTTGTTTGTTTAATATTTATCTGTCTAACCTAACAGGTATATTTAGAAACTGATTCACTTCCGTTCTTTTCCTCTCTACGAGATTTAGCGGCAGGGATAGAATAAATGCAACGGAAAGCAAGGACTATATAAAAGGACAGACACTATACTAGAATATCATCATTCATAATTTTAGTTTAAATCTTGCATTTTTCATAACACAACTTTCCTTACCGAACGGTACGTTACGTTACGTTACGCTACATCGATAAAAAGGTTGTTAATTCCTTAAAAACGCAAACAAGATAACAAGATTATTAAGCCCTTATAAATGCAAACAAGATAAAAAGGTTATTAAGCTAGGGGGGGGGGATTATTAAAGAATTCTTCGTGTGTGGGAATTCGATGAAATGTCCCCAACACTGCAATTATTCTCGCCGTGTGACTGTGAGTCACGGAGAAATCCTCTAAAATATTCAATTAGAAGACGACATTGTAATTCAAGGTTTATAAGAGTACAAGTCATGAGTCATGATCATTGACATAAAACATTCCAGAACTTTGAAAAAGGCCTAATCAAACTTTAAGTAAAAAAATAATTATTAAAATTTTCGAAAGTTATGATTGCATCTTTAAGATAAATTATAAATGACACATTTTATTCATAATAAATTTAATTGTCCGTCGGAAATTTGAAATGTCGTCTTAGTTGAAGATTGGTTTGCAACTCTCAAGGATGGAATGGTATGGGATATTATTAGTCATTCTCCGGAGTCCAGAGAACAAACTCTTCTTGTCTGCTTGTGATATAAAGCAGAATGAGATTGATAATATTTATATTCTATGGTGGTGCCATGTTTAGTAAAGTTAATGGATTTCAAGTTGAAGGGGTGGGAGAAGCCTTAGTTCAAGGCGCTCTGGGAGCCGCTGTAAATATGACATGCAGGTAACCATCTTCTTATGAAATTGTATTTTATTTTTGAATTGAAAACTGATCGGGGTCCGTCCTAGTATACGGTTTTTGGACCCCCCCCCCTCATATCAATTTTGTTCTAAGCTATCGTTCTCTAGGAAATTACTAAATGTTAGTTTTAGTCAAAGAATCGCTTTACTTTCTATAATTTAATACTTATTCTCTAAAGAACCCGACTGATCTAAAAGGATGGTGTGGGGGGGGGGGAGACACAAAAAATATGGCACGAGGGCACATAATTATAAACTACCATTATGATGTTAATCCAATGAATCATTAAATTGTTTTCTTGGGTTTACATCCCTGCAGTATTATAGTGTCATATATTTTTTATTTATTTATCAGAAATCAACATTGCAGATATATATGTAACATGATGATTAATTTTTTGTTTATTATTGTAACATTAGTCATAATTAACGTTACAAGAGTGTGACGATTATTTGCAACCCCCCCCCCTCACCAGAGATATCTGTACTTTGCAGTGTACAAATATTTTGAAATCTTAATGTAATTTAATTTAAAGATGATTTAGTTTCGTCTCAAACCCCCATATTTGAAACAGAACACCCTGGTATTTTAGGGACACATACTAAACATAACAAGGTTATAATGCAAGGAAAGTTATTTCAGAGGTGTACTCATCTTTTGTACTGCAGTGTACTGTCTCTGGGCGGTAATTTAAACACAAGACGGATGCCACAGCCTGACATGGGATCCATCTTTCTCAAATAAAAAATCAATGAGATATTCTGGTCATATAATTAGGAAACTGATATGTGAATTATCAAAAATTATCGAAATGTAATGCTTTTAACCTCCTCGGATACTAAACGAACACTGATGCATCTATTCTTGTTTACAAATTCCCTCCAGAGAGAACTGTTTTAAATATGTACGCAGAGTATACGCAACTGCAACTTTCCTTGCATTATGACCTTGACATAACATCACAAATAATATTCCGACAAAACATATTATATCAAAACAAATCAAATCAAAACATATTAAATCAACACCTATCAAATTAAACAAAACATATATCATACAAAATATGTCATATCAAAACATATATATGTGAACATATTTAAAACGACAAAACGTGTTAAAATACATTACAAAACGTATCAGATCAGAAACAAAACATTAAGTAAAAACACAACTGCACAGTTGATGTGTCGTATGCTTAATGAATTATTTCATTTCATACCTTGAGTCTACAAGTCGTCTTCCTATTTCAGAGTTTTCTGGTTATCACTGCAGGGATGTTTTGATATGTTTCTTTGGGATATCTATTTTATATGTTTAGCTTGGATATGTTTTGTGGATTGGAGCTTCTTTAAAAGATATATGATACCAGCTGAAGTGCCCGGCGTTGCCCGTGGTATAAAAAAATCGAATTTGTTTTTGGTTATGTTACCCCTCGGGTACCCATAGGTTTCCTAAAAAAATCCAGCTCATTTAGTCCAGGCGTTTTGCCAGCTATAGCTTTTTTGTATATTGCATATATACTGCAATATAAATATATATATTGTATAATATAGAGATTTTTATGAATATTCTTATAAATATGTTTTAGATCGAGTAGTTTTTATGAATATTCTAAATATGTTTTAGATCGAGTAGTTTTTATGAGTACTGCACCTTTATAAATCCAATAGGAGAGGTATATTAAATTGTATTTTAACTATAGAAACCAGTTGAAAATTACGAACATGTTTTTTTTAAATGAAGAAAACTTTTACGGAAATCTCGCAAGTTTTTAGATTAATAACATTCCAATAGAATCTCCCACAGATTGATTCATTATTGGTATACTGTCCTGTTTTTAGGGTTTCTTTAATCAATTCTAGAGCTGTTCCTTTTCTGTGTACGTAGTACGTACGTAAGTTTTTTTTAGGAAAAACATTCTTCTAAATTACTTTTTCTTAAAAGCCAACAAGTTTTAGAATTAAAACATCAGTAAACAAATACAATCATGGTGAAACAAACTGTAATGTGCCTTTTTAGTTTTAAAACGTTTATGCAGTAGGCACCAAGTTTTATTATTTGCGAGAAGCATTTAAACAAGTTTTGCGCCGTTTCCAAGGTTGTAATGCAAGGAAAGTTAATTGCTGTCGCGTATACTCCGCGTATATTTTGAAACCAGTTCATTCTGGGCGGAATTTGTAAACAAGAATAGATGCATCAGTGTTCGTTTAGTATCCGAGGAGGTTAAAAGCATTAAAAGTATTAAATTTTGATGATTCACATATTAGTTTCCTATGACCAGAATATTTCATTGATTTTTTTATGTAAAAGAGGGATCCCATGTCAGGCTTCGACATCCGTCTTGTGTTTACATTACATAGACAGTACACTGCAGTACAAAAGATGGGTACACCTCTGAAATAACTTTCCTTGCATTACATCCTTGGCCGTTTCTAGTTTATGAGTAATGCACTCTCCACTAAATAACAATATTTCTTTGGTCTGAGTACTGCAAATAACTTCAGTAAACGCCTAAAGCTTAGCTGAGGCTGAGTGGTATAAATTCTTCTTTATTAAATTTGGTCCATTGGTTCCATTATAGAGTTTAAACTTATTTTTTGAAAAACCAAATCTAATCAAAGATATCTTTACGTTTCATATTCTTTCTATGCATAATTTCTTTTCCTAATGATATTTGACATACATTAATACAAATTGTTGAATAAATAAGAAACAAAATATATACATAATGTGTAAATGCACCAAACGGAAATAAATGGTCTAGTCATGAAAAAAGCAATTACAAATATTTCTACTTTGAATTGCATAACTCGAAAAATGCAACGCTAAAATAAAAACATTCCTTTTTTGATTTGTATTACAGCTCTTGGATTACAAAATAAAATTATTTTTAGAGGCTTTGTTCATAACTATAGTTTAACCAAAAAAAAAACATTCGACAGTAAAAAAACGACATGAAACACGATAAAAATAATTAATATTTTCACTTACTTTAATTTTAATATTTAGACCTGTGATTTTGAATGGCGTCGAAAGCAGTGGAATATAACAATGAGAAAATGTTCAACTTTAAATCAGAAAGTTAAATTCATTGGCAGGTACATAACAAATCTTGAATAATTTATCATAAATGATAATTTTTGTATCAAATAGCTAAGTGTGTATTTTTTTCTATCCAACATTTTTTGCATCGTATCTATGAAATATTTTCTATATAACTCCGAGATTTTCTCGAAAACCTCCCAGATTTTCTTGAAAACCTCCCAGATTTTTTTAAAAACCTCCCAGATTTTCTCGAAAACCTCCCAGATTTTTTTGAAAACCTCCCAGATTTTCTTGAAAACCTCCCAGATTTTCTTGAAAACCTCCCAGATTTTCTTGAAAACCTCCCAGATTTTCTCGAAAACCTCCCAGATTTTCTTGAAAAACTCCAAGATTTTCCCGAGAAACTTCTAGATTTTCTCGAAAACTCCTAGATTTTCTCGAAAACTCCTAGATTTTCTCGAAAACTTCTAGATTTTCAAGAAAACTCTTAGATTTTCTCGAGAAATTCCTAGAAATTATCGGAAAACTCTACATTTTTTATAGAAACTTTTAGATTTTCCGAAAAACTTTCGAAAACTCTTAGATTTTTTCGAAAACTCCTAGATTTTCTCGAAAACTCCTAGATTTTCTCGAAAACTCTTATATTTTCTCGAGAAATTCCTAGAAATTCTCGGAAAACTCTACATTTTTTCCAGAAACTTTTAGATTTTCCGAAAAACTTCTAGATTTTCTTATAAAACTCCTTGATATTCTTAAACATTTCCTAGCTTTTTTTTCCTCACAGATTTGAGATACATAAGTTTGTTTTCCTAAACTACTCGGCTTTTAGGGGGATGTCATTGTCAACCGTAATTTCCAGTGATTTATAAATTGTTTCATGGCCAATTTACAATATTAAAGATCAAACATTTATCAGATTAATGATTAGAAAGACATCATAGATTTTATTTCTTAATAGTTGATTTAATTCTGACGATATTCCGCATTGTCTCTGCAGCTGTATATTTCCGCAAGTCATTTTTATATATTTACCGTAATTAAAATTCGTTTATTTTTTTTCTACTTTTTTCCCTTCCAATATTCCTGATTCCGTTTCATTAAGTTACACTGAGTTTGAATGTGGGATTGAGATCTCTGAGATATCTCGAGCAGATTTAGGAATCTGGAAATGTCAGGTATTTAGTTTTATAACAGAGGTCGGAGGTATGCATCGTTAATCTTAAACAGTTAAGATATCGATATCCAATTTGGGCATTTTTAAATTTGAGGATAAATGCTAGATTCTTCTTTTAAATGACCCGGGCTATCGGAGAGGAATCAAACCAATCCATCAGATGAAGATCAATCCCGAGATTTACAATACACAAGTTCTGACTTTAGTTAGGAATATAAATATCAGTTGAAAAAAATTTCCTCCTTTGCAAATCTATGAAAATCGCGATCGATTTACAGACAGTTAAACCCTAAATGAGCCAAACATCGAAAGTCGTCTTGACAATTTTTCAAAGGGTTTTATACTATTTTACGTAAATCTCAGTATTTGTGACAAAAAATAAAAAGCCATGAATTTTTTAACTTTAATAAGTTATTTTATTTAATTTTACAATATTTTTAAATTTTAATATGAAATCAGATGGAAACATTTTGAGACTTCTATATTTCTTGTTTTTAATCCTTTCTTCTTGATCTTCCATTCCTTGTCCATCCTTCAATCACACTATGGTTAATTTTGAAAATAAAAATAAATGAATTTTTTGGATGTTTTCTGCAGCTAGCCAAATTGCAGAGGTAGAACTATTTTTTGAAGCCCTGTATCTATATTCTATATATTGAGAGTGGCAAGGTTACTCTTCCCCTTGTTTATATTTAAATTTTGCTTCAGTCATGATACTGTGTCGGGTCAGGTCCTGCATTCCTAGCTTTTCTTGGAGGGGGAGAGGGGTGAGGGGGGCATTTTACACATTTTCCAGTTTTTTTATCTTCAAAGTTTTCTTCTTCTTTCTTGCTTATCTTGCTTTAAGCACACATCTCTACTGTCAAGAGATTTCCCTTCCACTTTTTTCTGTTCAATTTATTTTTTCTTCTTGCTTCTTGTTTCTTGTTTTTACACTTTAAGGCCTTTCCAAATAGTTCTTTTAACATCGAGTTGTGGAGCAGGTAGGAGAGAGATAAGGAGATTTGTAGGAAGAAGGGTATAGGGGATTTCTCCCTGTGTTCCTTCATTTTATACTGTTTCCCAGTTAGGGGAATTAAGGAATTTACCCATAACTGCACCCCATATGCAAAATGGGGAGTTGTGATCCCTGAAAGCTCTATTGAGAGGTGTCTTCCATGGCAGTCCAGTCCTCACATCTGGTCGAGTAAAAAACCGGTATCGTTGTGCATGGCTTGTATTCCCACGAGGGGTTAAACTCCTCTTTCAGTGAACCAAGCTGAAGATGAAGTTTTGTTTTAATCTATGTACAATTCTCGCTTCCCCTGTAGGATACTAGATGCGTAAATAAACACAGCGCTTCCCCAGCTGCAATTCTGGGACTGCATAGTAGGTCCGTTCTGCTAGAGAGAAAGCAGGCAACTGAAAAAAGAAAAAAAAAAAGCCATGAATATGCGGGAACAGCTTTAATGAACTCCATTTTACCATTTAATTAAAAAACTAAATATCTGCAACATTTCATTATCGGAATTGAAGAATTCTTTTGATGTATTGAATATTTAGGGTTTAACTGTACATACAATGGATTGTAGAATATATAAAAGAGATATTTTTAGTATTAAAAAACATTTTTCGCCAGTTCACTGTTTACAATTTTGAAGAAAAAAAAATATTTTATTTTTATTATTTTATTATTTTTTTTTTACTTTAATTCAGATGGAGCAGTACGTTTTCGGGGGCTCTTTGGGATCTGGCAAACGGGGGGAAAACCGGTTTCAAGTGTACTCACCAACAACAACAACAACAACAACAACTACCACGTCAACATCAACTAGAGCCCCTGCAAGAAGGAATGGAAGGATGTTGAATGTTGATATTCCAATTTCCGGAATAAAATCTATACCTTCAAATGGCAAGACTATGTTAGCTGAGGTAACTTGAAACAGATTTGAAAGTAAAATAAATTTATAAAAATACTCAGATTGGGTTTACCAAAAAAGAAGAGTCTTTATTGACAACTCAAAACTTTTTTCTACCACGATTGAAAGTTGAATTCGGTTATTTTGTGTTGTAAATGCGCATCATTGGACAGAATTTAAACAAGTGTGCAGGTAGGGTTGTTAATCGTTTTTAAAAACGATCTTTTTAAAAACGAACCACTCATTTTGAACTTTCAAATATAAAGAAAAACGATCGTTTTTAAACAAAAAAAAATAAAAAAATGAATCTGAGTTTTTTTTAACAATTCATTTCATTTTTTTCTTGAATGTTTTTTTTATCGAGACAAATAACTGGTCTTCGTCGTTTTCAAAACGAAACGATCGTTTTTTTTTCAAAGTAGTGGAAACGATCTATCCCTATCAGTGCAGGAGTAATAGATATAGAAGAGTATAAAATCGTCTTTGAAGTCTAATTCTTTGTAGTAAACCATGTATTTTCCAATCCAGACCAAACCAATTCTAGGTGTTCCGAGTAAACCTGATATCTGGTTGTGTGTCTGGAGTTGTCATTCTCATATTTCTAATCCTCTTCGCTGCTCTTGTTTACAGGCATAAGAAACTTAGGTAAATTTATCTTGGTCCCAAAGTGAATAAATGGAACAGACTAAGGCAACGACGACAGGTTGGGCCACAGGGTTTTATTTGGTTTGGAAATAATTGCATGAAAAGATAGCTTTTGGAAAGTAAAGACTAGAAAAAAAGGACCCATGTAAATGTCGTCTTCAGCTAGAACTTTTTCATAATCAAAAATAAAATTTTTTGGTAAGTTTGTATGTGTTTTATATGCAAATACTATATAGTCGCTTTAAAATTCATTGATTTTGCATGACAAGCTTTCACTTTAAATTCTTTAAGAATTTATCTTTAAAACTTCTTAGTTTTGTTTTGCCCCCTCCCTCCTCTAAAAAGAAAAAGAAATGTAAGCCCTTCCTGGGAAAAAAACCTGAATACGCCTTTCTTAATATCTTTAAAGCTATGTCTAGTTCTCATCTCAACTACTCTTAAATCTGTCAAAATACAAAAGTGAAGACCAAGAGATATTTCGAAGATCTAATTATTTTTCGATATCACAAATTCTGTTTTCCTAGTTTTACAGATCATGCAGGCAGGCATTATTGTGCTGTCTGAAATCATTTTCTGTGCAGTAAAATGGCTTAAATTCACTTCTAAAATCTGAATTTACGTTAATCTATATTTAAGTTAAATACAAAGTTAAGTCTGAGTTTGTAAACAAAGGGAGTCCAGTTTCTGTTGTAGCTGTGCTCTCCGTAGAGACTAATCTATATATAAATTGTCTGTTTTTCTGTTTTTCTGTTTGTCTGTCTGTTTATCCAATAAACGTCAAAACGGCTGAACCGATCGGGCCCAAATTTTTTGTGGGACATCTAGGGACCCCAGGGAAGGTTTATGAATGATTGAAATTTTAAAAATTTGTGTTTTAGAGGTTTTTAATTTTGTAAAAAAATTTAAATTTTTGAAAATCCGCGAATTTTTTTTTTAAAAATCCGCAAAACTTTTTTCATCTTTGGTTTGAAATGTAAACAAAAAGAACATGTTTACAATTTAAATAGAAGATGGGCGCGAAGCGTCCTAAAAGCCTAGAAAGAAGGGCGCGAAGCGCCTAATTTCTAGTATTGTAAATTTACTTATCATCAAACTAGTTTTTTTAAAGAGAAATTTGTTTATATAGGGTGGCCCACGAAACATGACAGTTGGTGAAAAGTTTAAAATGTCTTCTTTCATAATTAGTTAAGTTGTTAGATATTAAAGAGAAGGATGAAAAATATTGTATGCCCATTATATTATTGAAAATTGATTTCAAAGTAAAATATATTTGAGAAAAGATGATTTTAACGAAATGACATTAATATCCAATATAAAATATGGAAGAAGACATTAAAAACTATTCAAGAACTGTCATGTTTAGTGGGAAACCCTGTATATGAGGATAAAATATATCTCTGAAAAGAACAAATTGGCGGACCAACATTATTTTATTTGAATGATTTCAAATCCATTACAAAAACACATTGAGAAAAAAAAATTAAAAATCCGCAAAACTTTTTTCATCTTTGTTTTGAAATGTAAACAAAAAGAACATGTTCACAATTTAAATAGAAGATGGGCGCGAAGCACCCTAAAAGCCTAGAAAGAAGGGCGCGAAGCGCCTTGAATTTCTAGTTAATATATACATATATATACATTTTTAAATACTTGGGACATAAAATGTCGTTATCCAACTTTAGTATTTTATCACTTGGATCTATTCCAGGTCTCGTGAACCCAGCCAGGTAATGGAAACTCTTCCTATCCCACGAAAGCTTCAGATGGATCTCAGACAAAAAAATCTGAAGACAAAAACTGAGAAACTAAATCAAATGACTTTAAGGTTGGTAATCTGAGTAATTTTAAGAATCTAACATTTTTAAAAGATTTCTTAAAAATTATAATTGCATAATTCTAGTCCAACAAGCACAATGAGTAGACGAACTTCCCTCTCCTCTGTGGTTCCAAGTATTGAAGACGACAATATTAACAAAGACGACATTGTGTTTATGATGAAAATATTCCCGCATTTAATTACTCTCTCAGACAAGGAAGGGTTCGCCACTATTGTATAAAAACACATTTTATCAGTAAATTTTTAAAAATTTATATTTCTTAAAAATTCTAGCTAAAGGAGTTGATTATTTGCCACAAACTCTGATTTCCTAATCCCTATATCTTTGAAACCCAATGTCGTAAACCTTTCATATTTCAAACTTATGTTATTTGATCTAACAAAAGTCACAGTTTGAAATATCAAAGGTCTACGACATTGGAATTCAAAGATATAGGGATTAGAAAATCAGAGTTTGTTGCAAAGACTCAATTCCTTTGGTGTACACTTTTTATTTCAGCTATTTTAACTCCCCAAACTAGTTTTTCCATAGCTGGGAACTCTTGTATTGTGGATTATGGTGATCAATGCTTGATCTTGATATTTTATATTAGTCTACAGATGAATTCAGGTCTTATTCGATTGCGGACGTCTCTCATTGGTTAACACAATGGACAAAATATCAAGCACTCTCATTGGTCAGACTCAGACCCCAGTACGGATATCCAAAATAGGAGATCAAGTAGATTAGTTTAGCCAAAAAATTTCAAAATTGTCCACTGTAAATATCGAGATTGTTGGTGTTCATCTCAAAGTTCCCAGCTCAGTTCATATACGCTTATCTGTGATACCAAATACAAACATTTTTAAATATGACTCGTTTTTTCGCCGATTTTATTGAATGCTTAATTTTTAACATAATAATTTTTACGCCGAAACAAGAATCTACATTATGCATTGTAAACTGTACAATAAGATTCAACCTATTAAATTGGGGCTTATTCTTTTTCAAATTTTGATTAAGAAAAAAGAAACAAAAGAAAAGTTTAGTTCATAATTTCAGGTTTTTTGCTAGTTTCTAAGTCACTCAAAATCCTTTTAATGGTTTCAAATCACTAGACATTGTGAGGATAAACTCTTCAAATTTTACCGTTTGATAAGAGACCAAGTTTAATTTATTTAAATAAAAAATATTATTTTCATTAATTTCAATTTGTTCATCTCCAAAAACCTGAAACCTTCTACCTCATTTCCATCAAAAATACAATGTCCATATCCTCAAATATATTTGATTTTTTATGCAATTGATAAAAATAATTAGAGCATTATAACGAATTTGAAGGCTTAATAACTATCATGGAAAATGTTATTAATAATTAAAATTATTTCAGTTTAAGAATATCTGAATCTGTATTATAATAATATATGTTTCTGTAGGCAGGATAAAATTCTTTCTCCAAAAACCTAGAAAATTATTTTAAATTTAATGCTTGCAAAATTTATTGTAACAATGAAAATTTGAGAAAAATTGAAATATAGATCTATTTTTTATCACGTATTTTTTAAACTGAGAGAAAATTGGTGATTATGAAATTTAAACTCAATATTCCACTCCCTTTAAGAACGTTAGGGATTATAAACGCTCTACTAAAATTGTACCTATCCCGTCCCTTACGCTGTGTGCTGGATATCGAAAACGTGCCAAAATATTTTTAATATCATTTTCAGATTATTCTGAAAAAAGCGACTAAAAGTGGACTAATGAGGAATTAGACCACTTTTCATTAGGACGCACATTTGATTGGCATTGGATACAAATAAATGACACACATAGAGGACGCAATAAACTAAAAACGCACAAAACTGTGACTTACAGGGTGTCCCATAAAACATGGGAATTCAGTGACGAATTCGATATCGTCTTTGTTATGAATTAGCATTGTAATAACAATTTTAAAAGCCATAATATTATTATGTTTGCTGGAGTTTATCTTATAAAAAGGATAGAAGACTGTAAAGATGTGTCTATAATGTCTCCGAAAGATGAACAGTGAAAAAGGACAAGTTTACTCTGTTTGTATTCTGCAATTGGGAAATTCGGGAGAACCAAGGGAATATTCTTATCTTGGTTTTGAGATTCTAAGTTGAGTGGGTGTATGCTAAAATCGTAATTTACGGTCAACTGCGGGTAAACGGTCTAGAAGTATTCTGGGCAACGCAGTGATCCCAAGCTAGTATATATATAAATATATATATATATTTCAGCTTTTAACTTCACATTTTTATTAAAAAAAGAATTATACTCAGTAGTTACAATTCTTTGAACAACTCTATATATATATTTATATATATGTATATATATGTAATTTCATGAAATGAAAACGAATTACCTAATAACATTTATTAAAAATATATATTGATGTAATATTAAGGAAAACTATTACATAATAGAGCATGAGATAGTAAAAACTAAGAACTCATGTATTATCCACCATATTATGCTGACTGTAAAATTAGTATTATTTGTCACTATACAAACTATTCATACGGGGGTAACCATGAAAAATGAGACTTCAGAGACGACTTTGCGACTATTTTTTCTTGGATTAATGGTTCCCTGACTCCACAAACTTTAATTAGATTTACAAATGACTTTTACGGCACAGAATTTAAATTCAAGCTTTAGATCTTTATATTTCAGAAGTTTAGGTCGTCATTAATGTCTAAATCTTTGTGGATAACTCTGTATATTATGATTTTAAAATGAAATATAAATTAGTAATATTGGTCAAAGCTTCATACTTTAATAAAGAATGTTTCATTAAACTTTTAAATCAAACTCTGATTTGCACTTAAATTGATAAAATGATTATCAACATTTTAATACAGTCATGCGATCTCGCTTTATCTTATGATAAAATTATAAATTGGTTAATAGGTTAAAGGGAGTGTTCGCGAAAAATGAAAGGGGGTAAAGGCTTAAGGCGAAAAATAATCGCTTTTGATTTTGATCGCTACTAATCTTACTTCTATCTGTGGCGCCTATAATGAGAAAATTATTATAAACGACATATACTGAAGAACGTAGCGTCCAAACAAATTGAGAAAGTTGCAATTCAGATATTACTGCAATCTATAGTCATCGATTATTTTTCGACACATTCGTATAAAGTTAATATTCAAACATCGGGAGCAGAGACATCTGATGGCCAAGTATTTCGGCGTTTTAAGTAAACAAAACGAATAAAAAATATTATGAAATATTAACTATATACAAATGCGTCGATAAATAATCCATGACTATAGATTGTAATATCTGGATGATTTGTTTGGAATTAAATTGGTTTTTTACGATCCGAGTTGAATATTACAACTTTCTAAATTTGTATGGACATACGTTCCTCAATATAAGTCGTTTTTAACAATTTTCTCCTTATAGACGCAACAGATAGAATTAAGATTAGCAGCGATAAAAAACGATTATTTTTCGCCGTAAGCCTATACCCCCTTTCATTTTTCGCGAACATTCCCTTTAATGTCAAACAAATCAAACACGTAACAAGTAGATTAATAATTTATGAGACTAAGGACAAAATTCTCAATTAGGGGGCAACAAAACAACTCTTGTCCAACAAATCATTTTACAAGTAAAGAACAAAACATATTTATTTAAAACGTAATCTATACTTGTTGCATTTATCCAAATGACTTAAAGGGAGTGACCGGCAATGGATGGTAGTTGAATTGCGAATGTAGTATTGCGGAGAATATTTTTAGGATTTATTTGAGACATGTAAAACGGTTTAATGATGTACAAGGTGTCTCTGAAATTTAAGCGTGTTGGATGTTTAGCATCAGTAACTACTGAACATCAAAGTTTTGTGTTAAAAAATACTTCTCATAAGTACAGTACCCATACAGTGGAAATGAAGAGATTGGTCAACGTTTGAAAAATTAAAGGTTTACACCAGCATTAGATGGTTTACATACATTTGAGTTCTTATTCTGTACTTTACTTTACAAATAACATTCTTGAAGTTCTAATAACATTATTTAATCTACATTTTTAGGATCTTGCGGGAAAAAATGATGTTAAGTGTTTTCCCAAGTGACAATTTCNATGAAAATGTAAAATGTCTCCTGTTTGATAGAACTGATTAGATTCATAATATTTAGTTTGTATTAGTATCGTTCGATTTAGAGTTTGTATCTTTTGTATATAAATATATTGTAAGAAAAACCGACTCGTTGAATATTTGAGAAACTCAGTGCATTGCTTTATTGATTTTTATTCATATACTATATTATGTCCATTATTGAAGGTTAACACTGCATTTTAGAGAAAAATATTTGGTCATTGTACCTACTTTTAGGTCATTGTACCTACTTTTTAGCACATTTAAACGATTTTAAGTAGACTAAAAAGTTTTAAACTCTATTTTTCAGATTATAATTACTAAGTTTGAGGTTCAGAATCATCCATTTGCGTGGTTACTGGTTACGTTTTAAGAATCGATTTTTTAAAAATTATTAAATAACGACGAATAATGTATCAAAATTCTACAGTAAAGTAATCAGTTGTTTAGGACCAGGCAGGGAAAATCAAAATTAACTCTTCCGAAATGTCTCAATGTTCACAAACATTTTCTGGAATTTTTATTGAAAAGACGACATTTGAAAAATTTGTAGAAATCCGAGAACGAACTGGAATAAGAAATTCAATATAATAATAAAAAAATAGTAGAATTTTTGATACATTTTTCGTCATCGTTATTTTATAATTTTTAAAAAATCGATTCTCAAAACGTAACCACCCAAATGGATGATTTTAAGTAATTACATTATAGTAAAATTGATTTCACAGTAACATATATATAAGTTAAACATTTGTTTAAGAATAAAATGCAAAGTCTTTAATATCTAATACAGTATGTGGAAGAAGACATTCAAAACAATTTATCAACTGTCATGTTTAGGGGAACACCCTGTATGAAAATAAAAATTGCTGAGTCCTATCACTCCCCCCCCCAACCCCGCCCCACCACCACCACAAACACTCGTATAAAACCCTGCCAGCCATGGAAGAACAGGATCAGAGGACAACGGATTAAGAAATGAAACTCAACTTAGTGCTCATTTTTCTTCACTTTTCCCAGGTAACACAGACCAAACTCATGGCATAAATTATTCCCTCCGAAATTGGTTACCGATTAAAAACTAGTTTTTTTTTTCAATCTTGGTCTACAATAGCAGGCGCGGATCAAGGGGTCGAA